CCCTCCCTCTTGGGGTCTGTCTCTGGACTTAGCCAGCACCCACCCCAGCGCCCCAGGGCACCCCTTTTAAGCCAGGGTGTCCTGTGGAGCTCCCTGAGGCTGGATTAGCTCCCTCAGGGGGGTTAATCAGTGAACAGTAGACCAGCAAGGGTGGGCAACACAGGGTTAAATAACTGACTAGTCTTTGCACAGATGGGTTTCTCACAGCCTTTAAAATGCTAATGGGCTTTATGAATGGGGCGAGGAGCAGGGGAGTAGAGAGAATAGGAAATGTTTCCCCCAGCTCCTCTGAAGACTAACCTCCATGCTCCCCCCCACCGCCCCCAACATCTCTATCAGGGTCTCTGGGACCAACTAGTGGTCAGCAGAACACACAATTGAGGAAAGGCAGTTTTCTGCAACCTCCTCCCCCAACTCTTTCTGGGGTAGTTTCTGGTCTCCTCAGCCCCTCCAGATGCCCCTGCAGCTGAGCCCAGGGACAGCAGCTGGGGGGAGGTGACAGCGTGGCAGCAAATCAGTGAGATCACCATCAACTGTGGCCCTGAGCTGGGGGAGAGAAGAGAGCCCTGGCTCCCTGCCCCACCCCCAGTGCGGTTCCAGGGGTGCCCCCAGGCCAGGCCTTGGGACACCCCACCCCCAGCTTCCCCAGCTGCAGGGCCCACCACTGCTTAGTCTGGTTCTGCTAGAGAAGATGGGGTTAATAGTGGGCTTAGGAGCCAGACTGCTGGGCTCAAGGCCCAGCTCTTGCACCTGCTTATTGAGCGATGGGCAAATTTCTTAGCTTCCCCGTGCCTCAGTTTCCCCAGTGGTAAATAACTCCGGACAGTGTTCAGTAAACATCGCTATCACTGCTGCTACTAAAACATCGTCATTCTGCCTCATCCCTGTGCCCCTGTCACATGCCCGGCACCAGAGCCCAAATCCTGCTCACCCAGGTGTGGGGAAAAGAGCGCCCATCCTGCAATCAGGCAGACATTGGTTTAATCCCCGACTTTTAATCCCTTACCAGCTGTAGGGTGTTGAACAAACCACGGCCTGGCTGTGCCTCAGTTTTCTCTTGTGCAGATCAAATGAGGTGACCCTGGTAATACTTAGCCTGGGGCCTGACACCTTTTTACTGCTCAGTACATGCCAGTCGCTTTCCCCTAGGTCCCCACCCATTGCTGCCCACCACTGCCGGGCTGGCCTGGGTGTCCTGAGGGCAATGTCCCCAGCCTGGCTCCCTCCCACATGGGTCCACCCACACCCTTGGGCGCTGAGCAGAGTGGGGGGGGCGCGCTCAGCAAGTCCCTGGGGTGTCCACTTCCACCGGCTTAGTCTGAGGGAGCAGTAACACTTCTGCCTCCATGAACTGGCCTCCCCGGCAAGGGATCTGAGCAGGAAGCCACACCGGGGTCTCCTGAGTCTTCAGGGTGGAGTCTACAGAGCTGGAGACAGGGTGAAAAGCCTGGCTGACCCATGGGACCATGCCATCCCCTCCCTGATCGGGTTCCGTGTCCTCTTCAGCCCACCGGCATGGTAAGCTTTGCCTGTACGGCCCGGCAGGGGAGACTGGGGGACCGGGAGAGAATCATCCTGCTTCTGGAAGAGTCTGGCTGACCTATGCTCACCCTTCTCTTGAGGAGAACCCCCAAACTAAGGAGTCTTTTTCCAGAAAGTGAGAGTGGGTGAGCTGGTACTGAACCATTCCCAGCCTCTCCCACCTTCCCTCCTATGCTCCTCTCGCACACAAGAGATGGGTCTGGGTCATCAGCCGGAACAAGGTGACCGCCCAGGGGGAGACTTCGGGTCCCCACCGGGCTGGGGGAGCACCCATGACAGGAGGCCCCCCGGCTATGCTCCCTTGGTGTCCACGCCTGCCCTGTCCTTGGCACACATGGGCACCCAATAAACAGCTTCATATTAATAATATTCAAAAGAAGAGTCCCCATCTCTTTGGAAGTATTTGCCAGGCCCTGCTACATGCTTTTCATATAGTGACTCACTCGGAGGAAGCAAGGAGAAGAGGGAGGGAGGAGATGCTCCAAGGCTTTGCCCCTGACCTTGAACTCTGGCAGCCTCTGCCCGTCCTGGGGACCCAATTCCCAATTTGTTAGCCAGGGGAGCTGAGCGTTTGGATTTAATGGCCAGTTCCTCTCTCCTTGGAACTTCTAGGAGTCTGCAGCCATGTGGGCATGGATCCCCCAGGGAGGATGCCTCACCAAGCCCCACCTGCGTCCTCCCCAACTTCCCCTGCCCTCCCACCCTGACTCTGGCTCCGGAGTTCAGAGAGCTAGAAGGAGCCTTAAGACATTGGGGGGAACCCACTGGCTCCCAGGATTTCGCCGATGTCCCCAAGGAGGCCAGGATGGAAGGGACCTGCCCGCATCCTGACGGGTGTGGGGACACAGGAGAACTGCTCCCAGAACAGGACCTCTTCCGTTTTCTTATCAGGGCTGCCTCAGAGACACTTCACCGAAGTGCCTCTGGAGGCTGGACAGCAACCTGTGGCAGGGGAGGGGTCCTGGAGCACGACAGGGACAGGCCAGGTGGGGGCCCTGAGAGAGCAGGCAAGGGAGAGGGAAGGTCCGCATCTCTGCACCTTAGCTCCCATCCCCCCCTCCACTGTGGCCTGATGCAGCAAGAGGCGGGGGAGGGGACACAGGAAGCCATGAGGGGCTGTAAGAGGCCCCACTTCCTGCCTCACCCCCAGAAAGGGGAAGGCCCCAAGTGAGAATTCACAGCCTCCTCCCCAGGCAGGGTGGGGGCTGAGCAGGATGGGTGTGGATGGATTTCCCCCTCCTCACTCCCTCTGCTACAATACTGGACATTCAGTCAGGGGGTGAGGGGGGAGGCTGTGCATGAGACATTGGGGAAGGATCAGGCCCAGGAAATAAGCACCAGGAGCCGAGCAGAAACTCTGTGCTACTCCCTTGAGGCTCAGAGAGCCCAAGAAACTTGCTTGGGGTCACACAGCCACTCAGTAATGGAGCCAGGAGCGGAGCCCAAGTGGTATGACCCCAGAGCTGCTCTGGTGAAAATCCTGGGAACCCAGATTCTAGGATTCAAGGACATCAAAGTTCATCAATGATAAAGGAGATGGAGCCCAGAGAGGGCAAGGTCAATGCCCAAGGTCACAGAGGGACCCTGTGGTAGACTGAGGATTGGGTTCTTCTATATCCCCGGGGTCTCAGGAGGTAGGAGCAAAGACTGTGGGGGAGTGTCATCTCTCAGGGGCCAGGCCCCCACCGCCACCCTACCCCAGCCAGTACCTTGGCCCCAAGGCGCAGCTGGTCAATGGTGTTCTCAGCCTCAGCGTACTTGGTGAGGAGCTTGTGGTAGTCCTCCTGCGGGAGAGGGGGAGCAACAGGGTCATGCACCCATACCCCTCACCATGAGACCCCTCAGGGGAGCCCAGCCTCCAAAGGGTTCCTCAGAGTGCAAGAGCTCAGAGGTGGGAGCTAAGCCAAGCCCGGCAGGCTCACATGCAACCCACGCCCCCACGGCCAAATTCTGAGTGGGAGAGGCGCAGGACAGCCTGCTAACTTCGCTGACAGTAAATCAGGGATGAGGGCTTCTGGGCTGGTTTACCTTGATGCATAACCCCTGTCACCGAGGACTGCAACTACGTGCTCATCCGTCCTAACTCCCTGTGCGTCTGTCAGCTCTGTGGGCTGAGGCCCACATCCGTCTTCCCCACTGCTCTATTCCCAGTGCTTGAGGAGCATGCGCTTCCTAAGTGGGATTTTAATGGTGGATGGAATGAATCATCCAAGGGTCCCATAGAAGATTTGGAAATCACAATCGCATGTACTCAGAGTCACTACTTGCCCCAGACAAAACTGAACAGCTTCATCAAACAAGTCACGGCAGGGAAAAGGCGAAAACAAATGGCACCTGCCGTCTTTGAAGGATATCGGGGAACAGATGCATTGCTCTGAAAACTGGGGAGTAGAAGGACAGACGCAAGCATTTCTCCTGTGTTTCCCACATGAACAAGACCTTGGTAACCAAACAGTCGATGAGGGAAAATTTTACTTTATAGAAGATTTCCAGCAAGTAAATGCAGAAGGAATGATAGCATTAGGATACTACCACTTTATCACCCCAAAGGGAGGACTGCATCAAGGCCATGGCCATCGGTGGCCATAGACATCACAAATGAAAGATGAGCAAGCATCCCGTGACTAACCACCTGTGACATGCTCTTGCCAAAAAAAGAAAAAAAAAAAAATCCTACCCACATGGAGCTGGTGGTCTGGAGGGGAAATAAGCAGATGGTTGCAACCCAAAAAAGCTTCGAGCTCTAGACTGACAACATACAGGACAAGGAGAGGACAGTGGAACATAGGAAGAGATACGAGACGGTGTGTCGGCAAATTCCGGAATGTGGAAGACTCTAGAGGACAGGACTGGTTTCCTCAACAAATAAACTAAAAGGAAGAAGGAGATCTGAAAAAAACGGGGGTGGGATAGGGGAGACTTGAAAGGCACATTTGGACCGTGATTAGGACCAACTGAAATAAACAAGCCGTTTATGAGACACAGGGGAGATCTGAACATGGACTGGATATTGGATAATATTAAGGAATTGGGGTTGGCTTTTAGGTATGCTAATGGGATCGTGATGTTTCAGAGAGAGTCCTGATCTTTAGACATACACACTAAAATATTTCTGGGTAAGACGATTTGAGGCCTGAAATTTGCTTCGAAATATTCCAGTATGGTGAGTGGGGGAAGAGGTGAGGCCACAGGTGAAAAAGGCTGCTGGGGGCGGGGCGGCGGGTACCCGGGGGTTCATTGTACCATTTTCTGTCTTGCATATGTTTTGAATTTCTCACAGTAGAAGTTAAAAACAAACACACACACGCAGATTATCCTTGCGGCGTGAGTGTAAGCGCTGTGCTTCTTGAGCAAAGGGCTTAGGACTATGTTCCCAGCTCAGGTACAACCCTCGCTCTACCAGCAGGGGATTCTTGGCCCAGTCCTAAGACTTCCTATCCAAACTGCCTCAAACTCTGGGCCAACAGGTGCCTTGGTGACATGCCTATAGACATGAGTCCAGCTTACCTGGAGCTGATGGACCAGCTTGGTGGCTTGTTCGGGCGTCTGAAATTCTTGGGGTACCCTGGTGATGGGGTGTGTAGGAGGTGGGTCCTTGGCCGGGCAGGTTTCTCCACTGCTCAACAGTACCTCCTGCACAATCTCAGCCGGTGACTTGAAGATCAGCGGCCTGGCAGGGCCCTGAGGCTGCCCGCTGTAGCTCCTGGCCTTGGGGGGGTGGTAGCTCTCATCTTTGGGGAACCTTACGCGGGGTCCCACCTTGGAAAAATCAGGGAGCGGGTAGTTCAGCTGCCCCCGCCCATACTTGGAGGCATCAGAAGATGAGTGACCAGCCAGAGTGGCTCCCTGCCTGGGTGGTAGCCTGTCTTGTCGGCCTGGCCTAGGTGGATTCAGGGGGCTGATGGAGCCAGTGAATCGAGAAGGGAGTGGCTTAGGGGATGCCCGTGTCCGTTTCCAGGCTTGGTCCCCCAACTGAGGGCAGGAGAAGTTGGTACTTTCTTTCCACTTATCTGCCGGACACTGGAGACTTTGGGCCTGGGGTACTGAGGAGTCCTGGAATTCCGTGGGGGTTGCTGGAGCAACACTTCCTCCAGTTCTGGTGTCTGGGTTTAGGAGGTGGTGGCTGGAGCTCTGTGGTAAGGTTTCTGCCAGCGCGACGGGCTGGGGGACATCAGTTTCTCCTTCCCAGGTAGAATCAAGGTTATCATTAGGGTGGTCGAGGCTCACGGTCCCACTGCTCCAGGACCTTGCAGAGCTGAGGTCAACAGTTGGGTTGTCCTCAGAATGTTCTGGAAGTTTGTCTCCACTGGCTTGTTTGCCAGAGGCCACCCAGCCCATGTCCTGACCCCACTCCAGAGCGCTGGGGCTGGTATTTCCATTGTCCCCTGAGCTGAGACCAGTCTCATACTCCAATCTTGGGGAGCTCTCTCCAGCTCCCCCCACCTCAGGATCTCCAAGGGCTTCCTCCGGATCCTCTTCAGTCATGGCCAGGTGAGGATCCTGCTGGGGGAGCCAGTTGAGAGGCAAGTTGGAACTTTCTGGGCTGTCCACATCCTCTGCTTCAAACTCTGGAAAGACAGGTCATTGCTCAGGATATACCAGGTCTGGAGTCACTGTGTATCATTACCAGAGTCATTTCACCCCTCTGGGCTTTCATTTCCTCATCCTGTGGTGACGGCAAGAATCCCAGTGATCCCCCCCAATGTGGCCAAGTACTTACCTAGCACCTCCTCTAGTTGTCTCCAGCCCTCCAAACCTGACCCTCAAACCTGGTTGCCCCTCAGTATTTCCTGTCTCAGCAAATGGAAACACCATTCCATCCAGTTGCACAAGCCAGAACCTTGGGCAGCACCTTGGCCACCACCCCACCACCCCCTCACCTCCACCCAATCCCCATAATCCATTCTGTCCCCTGATCCTGTCATGATCACCTACAGAGCTCTCAAACTCACCTAATGCTCTTAGTCCTGCACTACCTTTGCTCGAGCCAGCATCCTCTCTTGCCTGGACTATTGCCTTCATCCTCTATCTGATGACTCAGCATTATCTTCCTGTTCCCAGGACAGAGTATGGTCCAAAGATCCGGGTTTCCATACCCCGTTAGCTCTCCTAAATCCATCTCTTTCCTACGGTCCCCCTCAGTCTCTCCCTGCTCTACCCATGCCACATTGCTCCAACCACAGGGCCTTTGCCCATGCTGATCTCTCTGCCAGGGTCCTCTCTCCCTCCCTTTGCCTAGTTAACTCCTAACTGTCCTTCAGGCATTAGCTCAACCTTGACTTCATCAGGGAAATCTCAGATCTCCTAACTAGGTCAGATTCTCCCTTCTACAGGTTTTCATAAGACTGAATACCTCTACTTTGAAACACTTATCATAGCCCCTGTTTTCCATTTGTTTTCATGATCATTTCATTAATATTTGTCTCCCCCACTACACTGTAATCTCCATGAGGGCAAGGATACCCTCTGGTTTTGTTTACTATTGTATATGCAGAGTAGGTGCTCAATATTTGTTGACTGAATGGAAGGAAGGAAAGAAGCAAGGGAGGGAGGACAATATGGTCAAAAAATATCCATCCACCCATCCATTCACTATCCTTCCAACCCCGTACCCATCCAACACCCGTTCACCCATTGATCCAACCATCCACCCATCCATCTATCCATCCATCTGTCGACCACCCACTCACCTATCCGTCACCCACTCACCCATCTATACATCCAACTATCCACCCATCTCTCCCTTCCTCTATCTACCCACCTATCCACCCACCCACTTACCGACCTAGCCATCCATCTCTCCATCCACCCATCCATCTATCTATCCACCTATTCACCACCCACTCATCTATCCATCACCCACTCACCCATCCATTACCCACCCACCCATTCATGCATATATCTATGCATCATCCATGCAGTCAATGTTTATTGAGCACCTACTTTGTCCTAGAACCTATGTCAGCCTCTGGGATAGATCCAAAGTTTCATGAGACACAGTCTGGGACCATCAAACACAGACTCTCCGCTCTGGGCAGATACACCTTTGTCATCACCCTTGTATCACTCTCTGCTCCCATGTGGCCTTTCCCCTGGCACCTCTACATCCTTCAACTCCTTCAGCAAGTCTCTCTTCTTTACAGCAGCACACGTGAAGCCCAGAGAGGTTAAGTAACTTGCCAAAGATCATGCAGTGGCTCACAGCAATCCTGGACTTGGGACCAAGGTTCCAGCCATGCTGGCGAGTTAGTCTCTGCAGCTGGGCGTCAGGCAGCATGGTGAGGAAAACAGGCTTTGGAGCCAGGGATCCCTGGGTTCAATCTTGGCCCCTCTGATCCCTTCCTGGGGCCCATGGGCAAGTTGCTGCCCTCTTTGGCAACCCTTACTTGGACTGGAGGCTCACCTCTCATACCTGGCAGAAGATGGTGAGGAGAGAAGGAAACACGGCTTGCACCCTGCTCAGCCCTGCGCCTGGCACACAGTAAGGGCAAAGGACATTGGCAGTGGCTATTACGTCATAGCAAGGGGTTACCATGTGACCTTAGGAAGGGATACGTCTGCCCTCTCCTCCCAGTGTATGTCAGTCACCTCTCCCTGACAGGCTGGAAGTGGCTCCTGAGTGGGTAGCTGTGAGCAAGCAGACCCGGCATAAAGAACTTTGGGTCATGGCACAATCTGCTTCCAGTTTACTGCCTTCGCCACGATGCCCGGGGGCCTGCCCGATGCACAGAATCTGAAGTCAGGGCATTTCGTGTTCATGTTGTAAGCGCAACTGGCACCACATTACCAAGCTCGTGCTATTCTCAGTGGTATTACTGCTCCCATTTCACAGATGGGCAAACCAAGATTCAGAGACAAGGGACTTCTCAGCAAAACTAGGAATTTAGTCTGAGATGGGCTCCATGCAAAGGAAACCCTCATTTTAGAAAACAAGGCATGGCCGCATTGTCATTGCTAATTGGGATTTTTAGAAAATCTTAAAACTGGGCATAACCCTGGGACCAAGCAGTTTAAATGACCAAGGTTATTATCAAATCACATGTGCAAAGATGTACTAATGATATTCATCTCTGTATTATCTATAATAGCAAGAGATTGGGCCCCAGATTACAGACTATCCACCCCATGGAATTGCTTTGCATGCATTAGGAATGACTTGTGGAGGGACATACGACGAACTGGGAAGATGTTCATGTCTATTAAGTTACAAAAAAGCAGGTTATCCTAGCGTTTGTAGAGTACTGTTCCATATGCATATTACATTTGCATATTTATAAGGAAAAGAGCAGTTATCTGGATAATAAGTAATTTTTCTCTTTCGCTTATATTTGCCGATTTTTCTGCAATGAACATTACAACTTATGTAATTCAAATCATTTAAAATTTTAAATTATAGGCTTTATGGATTTTAATTTTAAAAAATCGCCAAAACACCCTCCACTCCCCACCTCCCACCAGAAGGTGGGATGGTCAGGGGGCACCCTGTGGGGTGGGGTTGGGGGGTCAGTCTTACCCTCTCCTGCAGACTCTCCCGATTCAGAATCCTGGCGTTCAGCGGCCCGTGGGTCCGGGTCCCACTCCAGTGGCTGAAGGCGCTGCTGGGCCAGCCGGAAGTCCTCCAGGAGCTCGGGGCTGGTGGCATTGGGAAAGGCCACCTCTTTTCCCCCGCTCCCCTCGGCATCCTTTTCCTCTTCGGCCCAGGCCCAGCGCCGCCGCTGGGGCCCCCTCCCCAGGCCCAGCTCGGCCCAGTGCACCTCTGTCCTGGAGCTGGCCATTGGGCCTAGCCTGCCCTTCACCTGGGCCACTTCATCTTCAGGAGACAGAGCTGTCACTGTGGGCTCCCAGGTCACCACCAGCTTCTCTCAGTACCAGCCATCCTGCCTGCCGCCTGTGGGGGACACAATCAAGGGACAGCCTTACTCCTCCAGTCCCCTCCCAGCTTCCGAGCAGGTTACCAGCAGGAACGCTGGAATCAGACAGGCCTGGGGCAGCTCCTGACTCCAACCCGAGGAAGCTGTGTGATCTTGGGTGAGTCACACCACCTTCATTTTCTTTAGCAAAACCAGGAGCCTAATTCTTCTCTCCCTCAAGACTTGTATAAATTACTTGAGATACAGGGTAAGGAGTAGGAGGCCGGCCCTGGCGAGAGTCCCTTGTGTGTTAGCGATTGTCACTGTGTCCCAGGCTCTGTGCATGAGCCCAGGAGGAAGCAGACAAACAGGCAGCGACTACCAACCAAGGTGAGCACGACAGGGAAGCACGGGGCGGGGGCTGGTGGGGGGGCACGGCCGGCCTAAGAAGGAGGCAAGGCTTAGTCCAGGAGCTACTTCCTCTGGGAACCTTCCCTGACCCCCCTCGGGTAAGAATGCAGACTCGGGGGGTGGGGGGGCGGCGGGTGAAAAGAACATTCCAGTCCTCCAAATAATTGAAAACAGGTACTCAAACCAACACCCATACACACGCGTTCAGAGCAGCTCTACTCGCAAAAGGCGAAAGGGGGAAATGGCCTGAATGCCGATCGACAGATGAGCGGATAAACACTGTGCGGGGTACACGCCATCGAAAGGAAAGAGGTCGTTGTACAACACTATACATATACTAAATGAATGGTTCCTTTTGAAATTGTTAATTTTATGGTATGTGAATTTCACCTAAATTAAAAAAAGAGAGAGAGGGAGAGAGAGAGAGAGCATGTCCAGGCAGGGGCGCCCCAGGCACCATGGCGGCAGGAGGGGGCGACACGGCATTGGTGTCCCCGACGGCTGTGGGGTTGGGGCAGGGCCTGGGGGCTCTGACAGCAGAGCGTGGGCAAGGACAGGTGGTGGCCAGAGCCAGGAGGACCTCTCGGGTCCCCTTCAGTGCATCCCACGCTCAGGACAGCACAACCAGGCTGCTGCTTAGAAGCTTCTCTCTGAAGGCTCAGGGAGAAGGAACCAGAAGAGAGAGTCTGGCTGCAGAGGGACCTTCTTCCTTCTACCCTCTCCTCCTTTCCCTCTTTTCCTTCGCTCTCTCTCATCTCCCGTCGCCTTTCTTTCCCAGCCCCGTGCCATGGCCAACACTCCCCAAGCGCCCAGCCGACGGAGCAGCGGCCTGGTCCCCCATAGTCGCTCCGGGTTAGCCCATACAAAAGCTTGACTCTGCAGGTGGGAAAACTGAGGCCCAGACAGCAGCAGGCTGGCGCCTGAAGCCACCCATCGGACAGGACAAGGCTGGGGTGACAGGTCACCTCACAGCCCAGGCCCGGGCTCTACCCCCCGTGCAGTGGACACAGTGGTCTATAATCCTAGGCCTCCCTGGAGGACAGACAGGTCTGTGTCCCTGCAGCCTCGTGAGCACTCGGGGCTTGGTCAGAGCCTTGATTTATACGGTTGAGAAAAGTCAGCAGGCAACTATTTCTGGATAGAAAGTTCCCCAGGGAACTTTCATCACAAGAAAGGCTACAGCCTTCTCAAGGGCTGGGGTAGGGACAGGGGAGGAATCACATTGCACGGCTTCTGGCTGCAGCCCCTGTGCCTGCAGCAGGCCTGGGGTGGAGGGGCTCATCCCCTCCCCCATACCCTGTCTTCCTCTCTCGCCCCAGAACTGCCCCCACATCACCCTGCGGGCCTCCCCACCACCCCTACCACAGATGCCTGCTCTGTGCCAGCCTGCGTGTTCTCCATCTGCCCTCACCCCAAACAGGGAAGCAGGTCACAGGAAAAGCCTGGCCTGGAGCAGTGACTTGGCCAAGATCACCGAGCTGGTGAGTGACAGAGCAAGATCTGAAACCATTCATTTGGGCCAGTAATCTCCCATTTTCTGTCATAACACTCATCAGAAACATATATTTGCTCTCATGCTCTCTCGCTCTACAGATATCTTGAGACCTTGACACAAATGCATCCTCATGCTGATGTATTAGAAAAAATACATGTATTAGGAAAAATATATCCAAAACAACTTTTTTTAAAAAGATGCAATAATAAATAAATCTTTTAAGGAGAAGCTCTAATCCTTGCTTCCCATATCCTCTGGGGGGCCTGCATCCCTCTCGGGAATCCCTGCCAGTGGGCCTTTAGCTTGAGTGTTCTTAAGAATTCTCTAAGAATGCAGGGACACCTGGGTGGCTCAGTTGGTTAAGCGTCTGCCTTCAGCTCAGGTCATGATCCCAGGGTTCTGGGATCGAGTCCTGCATCGCGCTCCTTGCTCAGCGAAGAGCATGCTTCTCGCTCTGCCTGCCATTCTCCCTGCTTGTGCTCGCTCTTTTTCTCTCTCCGACAAATAAGTAAATAAAATCTTTAAAAAAAAAAGTTCTCTAAGAATGCAGATTCCTAGGTCGACCCAGAGAGAACTAGACTCTGTGGCCCTGGGATAGGGCCCAGGAATCTGCATTAAGCAAATGCCCCAGGCAAGCCCCACCTTCTGGGGTGGACTAGGCCTTCTGGGCCCTGCTGCTTGGGGAGGTATGGGAGGTGCTAAGGGCCACTGCTTTTCTCTTCCTGAAATCACTGAGGAAGGGGCTGGGGAGGCATGCGGTTTTTTGACTTTTTAAAGGGCTTTTTTCTAGCCATGCCGCAAAGCCGGCTGCCCAATCACAGGGGCCCCTGGGTGCACAAAGAGGAACATCCTGTCTCCTGGGATGACTCAGTCCTCGCCGAAACCCAGTGAGAGGCAGAGGCGGCTGCGGTCACCAGCTGGAGTTGTGCACAGGCTCCCCAGGCCCTGAAGCCTGGGAGCCTCTCCTGAGCAAGGCTTCTGTCTTCTGTGCAAGCCACAGCCCTCAGGGCCACCGAGCCTGGGCCCAGCCAGCCAGTCAGCGGGTCAGTCAACAAACACACTCAGGTGCCAACCTCAGGACACGCCCTCGCTGGGCGGCCGAGAAAGAGAGGTCACTGGGTATGTAGAGACCAGGTTCCAGGTTTGGTGTTCTTGCTTCATCGTCAACGGCTGTGCTGAACCTCCCCTCACCGGAAGATGGGGGAAGCACGACCTGCTCTGGCTTCTGCAAGGAGTTACTGCCCCGTGAGCATGGGCTGGGTGGTAGCTGAATGAACTTTGAGCTTCCTGGTTGACCATGGCTCCCGAGGGCAACAGCTTCACAACTGTTAACTCCCTCCTCCATCCTGAGGACCCACCACAGAGTCACAAAGATGTATATTGAACACCCAGTGGGTGCAAATTAACTTTAAAACACCTATGACTTTCTGCTGTGTGCCAAGCACTCTAGAAGACACAAGGAATACTGAAATGGGCCAAAGTGTCCCAAAGTTTCAACTTGGGGGGGTCGGTAACAATATAGAGGGTTATATGAAGGAAGCATTAAGCTGGGCAAAGAGGATTTGGGGGAGAAGAATGGGGAAAGGCAAAGGGAAGAGCATAGGCAAAGGCACGGAGGTCTGAACCTATGAACAGAACTTGACGGACAGCTACGGGCAGGGGCTCTTGAATGGCAGTCAAAGGCTGGGTTTCTCCTGAAAGGCAGTGGGGTTGGGTGAAGGCTCTAGCCATATGAACTGGGGGCTGAACCCAAAAAAGTCCTGTGAGCACTAAATTCCCCCAGGCACTGGATTGTCAGGTTCAGGGTCCCTGCCTTGAGGAACCCGCCCAGGGAAGCACCGACTACTCCCTCCTCCTTTTGTATGGCTCCTCTCTCCCCACCATTGGCCCTGTCCCCGGCTCTCTCAAGGGACTACGAGCCCCTTTTGGTCTCTTTCTCCGGTTCCCGAGTGGGTCTGCCCCCGCCCCCTAGGGCTTCTCTGCCCCCCTCAGCCGCTCCAAAATGAGGACCCTTGTCTTTGTGGCTCCATCTCTCAGGTTGTCCTATGCCAGCTACAGCCATGGAGCCTGGCTTCGTCTCCCCAGGCCTTCTGAAGCCCCTTCCAGTCCAGCCAGGGCTGTGCAGGGGGCCCCCCTCCCCGCTCCCGCCTCGACCCTGACATCTCCCAGATGAGAAAACGGAGTCGTAGAGAGGTGGCTGGCTCTCACAAGACCTGGTGGACAGGAAGTGTGGCCCGGGGATTCAAACCCAGGGACCATGACTCTGAAACCAAGTCCATCAGACTTATGGGAAGGACGTGAGGAAGGGGAAGGAAGACTCCCCATAGCAAGTGTCTGGGCCCCTCCAAAAAGGCTGAGCTCAGAGCCCCAAACTCGGCTGCCCTCCCTGAGCAGCTGGCTGGGCACAGACCTAACTGTGCTCAAGGGGTTCCCGCCAAAAACTAGTCCTTTGAGGAGGCCCCAGCCGCTCTCCCCTCCGGATGTGCCCCCTCCTGCCCCCAGCTGTCTCCCAACATCAGAGGCCGAGGAGAAAGAGGGCAGGTGCCCTGGCTGCTGCGGGCTCTAGTCCTGCTGGCCTGAAGAGCTCCCCTCAGGGCCCTTACATGTGGCAGAGGGGGCCGCTCTTTAGTGGGGACCCCCCCTCCGCTGCCTCCTGGCCTGCCCCTCATCCGAGCATCATCTCGATGCAGTCTGAGGACCAACTCTCTGTGTGCCGAGGAGGACGCCGCAGGCCCAGAGAGGGACCAGCGCGTGCCCAGCTTCATAGAGATCAGAATCAGAGCTCGGACTGGCATCCAGCACCCGGAAGCTCGATGAAATCCCCCAAAAAATCCACCCATGGCCCCGGGGGGCCAGACTCCCTAAGAGAAGTAGGAACAGCTGCTGAAGCTGGAACTTCCTGGCTGGGGGGCTCCAGGTGCCCTGACCGTCCCGGAGAGTCTGACAGGCCAGCCCAGAGGGACAGCGGCCTCCCCTGCCCGCCTCGCTCCCTTACCTCTCTTGGGCTCCAGCACCAGCCTGCCAGCCCAGGCTCAGGGTACCTGCCTGTGAGGTCTTTGTTCCAAACCTGGGCAGCCCCCTGCCTCCATGGCGCCCTGGCCCGCCTCCAGGCCGCTCTGCCGGCCCGAGCTCTTGCTCACACACAAGCATCGCTCCCCACCTCTCCCCGCCCCTGCTGCGGCTGAGGCCGCCTCGCCTGGGCAGGAAGCGCCCAGCCTGATTTCCTACAAGTGTGTGTCAGAAGGAGGGGGTTTGTCTGCGAGCAGCCTGAGAGTCAGCAGGAGGAGCTTAACCCCTTGCAGGCCCTCTGTGGGTCTGGCTGCGCAGGGAAGGACTCGCAGGGACTCCCAAACGTCAAGGATCGGGACCATCTGGGCCGAAGTACTGATTGAGGAGACTGAAGTCCAGGGAAGGTCAGAGGCTTGGCCAAAGTCACACAGCATGCTGAGCCTGGAAGGAGGCCTCCAGCAGCTTCGACCTTCTAGGAGCTTTTTTCTGCAGACTCTACCCTCTAAGGCATGGCCTGGGCTGAGGCCCCCTCCCTCACCAGGCCTGGGTGCCCATCTGCACAATGGGAGCTCAGACCGGATGCTTCCAGCTCTTTCTATCCTGTCTGCCATCGTGAAACCCAACATCTTAGGGAGGCTGCAGCAATCCCTGCCGTCCCACCCACTGTCCTCACCCCAAGCTGGTCCTGTAGCTCCTGGGGGATTTTGTAGGCACCACCGGAGCTGGGCGTGAATGCCTGAGGAGCTGAATTTCTCCTGTTGTCCCCAGGACTTATCAGAGGGCAAGCTACCTTTTCCCAAGCTTCCCTCATCCCATTCATTCATTGGACAGGTACTTGCTGACTACTCTGCTGGGTGCTTGTCAAGGTGTTGGGAACATGGCAAGGTACAAGATAGGCCGAGTTCTTGCTCCACTCTCAACAGAACACAGGACAATAAAACAAACGTGGAGAGAGGTAGGGACAAGACCCACAAGGGTGGGATGGAGTGGTGATCCATATCCCAGGCTGCTTTTTGTGATCCTGACGCCTGAGGCTCACCCAGACCAACAGTCTCTGGGCATTAGCAACTTTAAAGTATCCCAGATGACTGGGATGTGTGGCCCAGGTCGAGAATCTGTGGGTCAGAGAGTAGCAGGTTGGGGAGGAGGGTTTGGGGATGGCTAGGAAGGTCTCTGCGGGAAGGTGACATTCGAACAAGGGACAGAAGGAAGAGAGGGGCAGGAGCAAGCCCCAGCAAGAGCCGGCAGCAGTCTTCTGGAAGGGCAAGTGCAAAGGGCAAGGTGGGAACCTGCTGGGCCTTCCCTGAGAACAGCAAGGCTGTGTACCCAGAGCAGAGTGAGCCAAAGGGAAGAGGCAGGAGCAGGGGTGGAGGGGCAGGCTCAGGGTCTGGGTCCCCTTCTCCCCCCCATGTATGCAACTCCTCACATTGGCCCTGTGGGGGATCCAGGGGATCTGATTCAGGAAACAAAAAGAAAAAGGAAAAACTCTGGCCTCTGTATTGTCCAAAAAGCCCTCCAGGCAATTCTGACGAGCAGCCAGGTTTGGGAACCAGCAGTGTAGGAGAGGAAAATGGATCCTGAGTCAGTGTAGACCTGGGTCCCAATCCCAGCCCCACCTCTTGCTAGCTCTGTGGCCTTGGAGGCTTCACGGCTCTAAGGCTTTCTTCATCTGTAACACGGGGTAAGAAGGGTAGCCATCCCACAGGGCTGCTGCCTGATTCCATGAGGTCACACCTGCACCGTGCAGAGCTGGGGGCCCGGAACATGCGTGAACGAGTGAACAGTCTTTCTCAAGGTCAGCTTGTGAGTATCTGTCAAAGCCAGGGCTGGAACCAGGTGCCCTCATCAAACAGTCAACTCATCCCCCCCGCCGCCACCTCCTTGCCTTCTACCCACATCTGGGTGGCGAGGCTCTACCCACAGCCCCCAGCCCAATGTGGAGCAGAGCCAAACCCTGAGGAGGCCCTTCCCTGCCAGCTCTGGTGACCATGTGGGCCATTGTGCAAGGGGCGGGCTCCCCTGACGGGCCTGTCACTCACTCACCCTCCCTCCCTGGTCATTAACCCAGGCAGCACCACCATCAACCCGTCAACGCCAGGTGGCTGCCACTGCCCGGCACGCCCCACGGCCCCTGGATCACCCCAAACCCATCTTAGGGGCAGCCACCTAACACCAAGGAAGACAGCCTCCCAAGCATCTCCTTGCCCCCTGCCCCCCAAGCCTTACCAACCCTACTTAACCAAAGCAAGGCGTCCCAAAGTGACCGTAGGACATCGCCGCCCTCCAAACCCACCCCTCCATAGTTTGGCCCATCTCTTGCCCAGGTGTGCAAGCCACAAGCGACCGTCATTCTGGACCTTTCCCTCTCCCTTACACCCCACAACAATCCATCACCAACTCCATAATATCACCAGAACCTGCCCGACCTCTGCATCCACGCATGGCTCCTGCAACAGCCTCTCCTGAGAAGCTCTGAGGTCCCTCCAGTCCATTCCTCACACTGCCCCACAAGGATGGTTCCAAAACAGAAGCGTGCAAACATGGTCCACCTGGGCTTAACACCCTCCGATCCTGCCCACTGCTCTGAGAAGGACAGTGAAGAAGGCGCTGCTCCAGCTTCTCCCCCACTCTCCACCCTCCTCAGGGTGCTCCCTGCTGTTCCTAGGACAAATGCATGGTGCTCCTCTCATTACCCAACCCCACTTCTCCTTGGGAACTTCCAGGCGACCTGTAGATCTCACCCCAAGGGCCCTCCTCGGGGATCGTTTGGGAATTAGACCTTGGGTCTTTCTGGCAATTGGGAGCTCTAAAGCGTTCACCATTATACTCCCAGTGCCCAGCAACAGCGCTTGCCACACCGTAGAAGCACAGTAAATACATGCTGGATCATCTACTGATGCTAGCCAGTCACCCAAGCCTGGCTGGGTGACAGGCAGGCTCGTGTGACGTCCCCATTTTACAGGTGGGTAAACAGAGGCCCTGAGAGCCCGAGAGACTTGCCTGCAGTCACAAAGCTGGGGAGTGCCAGTGGAGATTGAAGCATACAAAGATCCGCCTCTTAACAACAATGCTCACACCATGGCGGCCTGCAGAGATGATTAATATCTGTGCATGATAAAACTGGGAGTGGAGCTTATTACCAACTAATTGCAAGTCACTAAGCCAATGTTCTACCTCGATAATGAAGCTCCGGTTCCACACAGAGCCTTTCAGGGGCTTTTCTAAACTGCTTGCTTGTCCTTGCACCAGATGCTTTAAGAATAGCCTTGGGAAGTGGGCAGGACAGGAGTGTGATCGCGTTTACAGGTAAGGAAACTGAGGCCCAGAGATGCGGAAGGGATTAGTTCCCGGTCACCTGACAAAATGAAAACAAACAACAACAAAACCCAGGTTTGAGTACTTTTACCAGAAACACGCCCACATCCTGCTGCATTCGCAAACCCTGCCTTTCTGACCGCAGAGGCCCTGTGAGCCTCCGGCCACTCCTTCTCTCTAGCCCCTGGGTCCTGACGCTCTCGCACGGTAACAGCATCCTCACCCTCTCTCCCTCTGCCCACCACTCAGCCATCCCCTCCGGCCTCCCTCCACATTCCCTCTTGAGCCCCACCTAAGTGCCGGGCATGGTAACCAGAATGGAAGGTAGGTCAGCCTTTCTTCAAGCCTTCTGGTGCAGCCCAGCACATGGCCCGGGACCGAGGATGGGCACTGCTTTTTGGCATGATGTGCCCTGAACACAACATCCTGGGGCCCAGGGGTCAAAGGGGCCCATGAGGCTACCCAGCCATCAGGGGAGAGAATAGCAGCTCCCTTCCTTGGGAAAAGAAATGAAAACCCTCTCTAAGGTCACCCACTCCTTCTGGCCCATGTTGCTAATTTTACCCTGTAGTTAAAATCCACAGGGAATCTGGGGGCAGGGGCCAGGTGAGGATTGCAGAGCCGGCCAAGAAGAACTGGGGAAGTGGAGACCCAAGTTATAGCCTGAGTGATAATGAACACGTGCCTTCCCCGCTCTTAGCTTGGGAACCTTGGGGCTTAATGAGATGATCTCTGAGGTGATCAGAAATGACCTTCTAGCACTAAATCTCCTGGGTTCTTGGATTCCACTTGCCAACACAGGTAGAAATGCCAGGGTGATGGGAGGCTACAGGGTACAGGGGTTTATGGAACGTGTGCTTCGTGGGCAGAGACCTCCAGGTTCTCTTTGAAAGCTGTGTGGCCTTGGGCAAGCAACTTAACCTCTCTGAACCCAGATTTTTTTTCCCATAAAATGAGGGGTAATACTGACTTCACAGAATCATTGGGATGATAAATGAGACTACGTACCTGAAGTCCTGGCCCATGGCCCAGCTGGCTCAGAGCTCATGAATAAATGACTTTGGCCAGATCTGTGAAACACCCATATGGCCTTCTCCCTGAAGGACCGAGTTTAATTTTTCTGGCTCTGGAGCCTCCCTAATATCAGTCACAGCCTTCGCTCTGGGTCTTGCACAGAAAAAGGGATGGCTAGCTCTCCCAAGTGGAGAGAAATGCTGCCATTTCCCTGTGACCCTCTTCCCTGTGGCCTCCAAACGATTCCAGGGGTCACCAATCCAGATTGACATCGTGTCTGCAGCCTGAATAGGGAAGGAGGGGAGGAGGCAGGCCTTCCTCAGCCAACCAAAACATGGGTCACGAGGAGAATGTGGCCATATGGAGGAAAACACACACATGCACACACACTTGCACACAGACACCCACACTGTTAAATTCATGCTCCATGAAAAGAGTCCAATGTCAAAAAAAATGCCTATGTACCAGGAATGCACTGCTAACATTAAAGTAAATTTTATTGTGCACCTATTATGTAAGGCCTTTCCATGGATTCGGATGTCATTATTTAATCCCTGTGCCAATCCAAGGATGCAGGATTTAGTATCCCCATTTCACAGGAGAGGAAGCTGGCTTTGAACCAAGCTGTCTGAATCCAGACAGTACGGTCTTCATCATTTGCGACTGAACCTTGCAGTACGTGAAAATATTGAAAGCAATCTCAGTGTCCAGTAACAGGAGATCATGGAAATAAATCATGATAGTTCCACTCAAAGGCATTTATTTATTTATGCAGCTATTGTTAGTCTTACTGTGGCAGAAGATGCCGTCATGTAA